AAAAATGATTACAAAAATAAAAATTAAGACTTAAGACAACTGTATACGAAAACATGATCATAATTTAGGCATTAATATGTGATTGGGATTTTTGTGTATTTGTTCGATATTCTGGTGATTTTTGATGCATAATTTCAATGGCAGGCTGATTGATTAATGGACGGATGGGCGTACTCTCGGATGGAATGATTGAAGGTTGACACTTTAGTCAAGTTTCAGATTAATTAACATAAACAAGCCTCTAATAATTACACATGTTTCTTATATTTTTAAGTAAGGAAATCCCAAAAAACCCACTGATTTTTCAAACCCACTCTATACTGGTGATGATGATGATGTTGCACTCGAGTCATCATCATTATTATGCATTTGAAAAACCAAACCGATACTTAAAACAAAAAGCCATTTATTTCAACCGGAAATCGTTGGAAGGTCAAATGCAAATAAAATAAAAACTTAACGAAGAAACCGTTCAAAGTTCTCGAAATTCATTTAATTGCAGCCTACGTGGAAGCCATTTCTAATACTCATCATAATAATAACCATCTTGATCGGCGGGGCAACATCTTTATTGAAATGTCTCTGCGTGATCATGATTGAAGAAGGCGTTCTTCAAAAGGCCAACACTTGTTTGATTTTTGTTGTTTTTTTTTGTTTTTGTCTGAGGGGTCCATTGAACCTGGCCGGGACACTCCTCAGAACATGGCCAAGAAACCAAAGCCGAAACCGAAAAAAAGTCGCCAAAAGGCATTAAAAATATTTTCATTATCCGCAGCATAAAAGTTATTGTTGTGGTAAATGGAAAATAAAATACAAAACGTAAAAATGGGTAATTTTCGTAGTGCCACTAAAGTACGTGTTCCGATTATGCGAGTGCCCCCCCAAAGGGGGGCGACTGGAGATCGGTGGCAGAAGAAGGTGTTTATGGCTCCATGGGTATGGAGCTCTACGGGTATTTCCTGATTGCTGTGCGAGAGGAGTCGCCTCTCTCCTTACCCCGCCCTGCCACTGCTTGTCTCTTAAGTGCCCCTCCCCTGTGGCACACACAGCTCTTGCATAATAATTGACAGTTATAAATTTTACTTGGCTCAAACATGCGCGCCCAGTCTGAAAAAAGACAGCACTGACAAAATGGAGAAAAAAACGTCACTTGTTATACACTGAGAAAAATTATTTTGGGAGCGATAAAAAGAGACTAAATAAGAATTTTAAGGCTATGGTTTTATGCCTAGTAGTTGGTTTGTAATTTAGATGTCTTATTATTAACCTTTAGACTTTAATTTCTTCAAGAAATAAAAATAAACTTATTTTATTTATACCCGGTAGTTTTAAAAAATATTCTTTATCTTAATATTGCTGAAAAAACGCTTAGGAATCTGTATTCATAATGGATCAGCTATATAGCAGAATTACCAAGAATATGGAAGTTTTATTTGGAAATATGAATTCAATCCATAGATTAATTTCAAATTAATATATTAAAAGCTATCAAAAAGTCTAAAAATCTACATCCTTTAAAAGTGTATCAAACTTAAAAAAAAACCCTATTCTAAAAATAAATATTCTTTTTTTTCCTGAGTGTAGCGACCGTGGAGGATGAGGAGGAGTACTTAATTCTTTTGGCTCTCGTCCAGCTGCTGGACAGTTATCGCCCTCCGTCGAAGTTCACGTAACTCTGCCCGGAGAAAGAGACAGCCCCAAAGCCAAAGAAAGAGAAAGAGATAGAGAAAGAGGGAGAAAGGCCAAGAAAGAGACGGGTGTATAGCCGGGCCTACATGGAAGTCTGTTGTCTTCTGTATTTTTTTTCGGAGTGGCTGATCGGGGGACTTTTTTTTGGATTTTTTTGAATTTAAAGATCTTGGAAACGCCAACGACTGCAGGCCGCATTAACATTCCAAGTTGGCCACTCCTGTTTGGCTTACATCTGTATGCAGATATGGCTCACACACACACACACACATGAAACACTTGAAATGTTGAATAACAGTTGTTGTTTCTGTTTTTTTTTGTCTTTGTTTTTATTACAATTTTATGAGTATTTTTTTTTTGTGTAAAATACATAAAAGTATCGGGTACCCGAAGAGTGTTTTTTTTAACCATCTGAAGACTGAGTCCCTGTGTTGTTTTTTTGGATTCCTTTGAAATGCGTCTCTTTATTTTTGGGCCCAAATTGAATTGGCAAAAAAGCCGAAAGGCTTGAGGCCTTAACGCCCGGAGCGGTATAAAAGCTCCGGTTAATGCTCTTAAAGACTGTGATCTTGGGATTACAACATTAAATTCCATAATCAACGTCTCTTTTATTTTTTGCACTTGAAATTTTGCTGTGTTTTCTCGAAAGTTGAAAGGCTATTATAGTTGGGTTATGGTTTTCTGTTTTCTGTTTTTATAGGATATTAGTTTTAAGATTTTGATATTCAAGGAATTTCCAGAGGAATTAAAAGACTACATTTTAAGGTAAGGCTTTAGGCTTCAGGAAGTATCAGGTATTACATAGTCTTGCCTTATAGGCCTTACCATATTTTTTTTAAAGGAAGTACCGGGCTTTTTTTTTATTGGTACTTCTGATGACTTTTAATAAGAGTCTTCCTTATGAAACCCTTACCTTAAGTTTTCTTAAAGAAACGTCTTTAAACTTATGTCTTTTTGAGAAGAAAAAGTACCGGGTATCTTATAGCCTTGAACCCAACATATATCTGTTAGTTTGTGGCTTATGCAATTACCAAATTGCCCACTCCCTGGCCTTAATCACGACCATTGTAATTACCAACTGCAGTCCAATCATTATATCCCCATCCCCAGTTCCTGTTACTGGCGTCCTTGGGCCACGCCCCTCATCAGCCCATTAGCACTCACCATACCCTGATATTTTTTAACGCACTGACCTCGCGGCACTCCCCACATTGATGCATCCTGTTTCCCCGCAGTAGTGCTACATGATTTAAAAACTTCTTTTTCTTCTTGTCTCTGATTACGAATTGTTTTCATTTTTGCTTGATATTTTTTTGTAGTGGGGAATTTTTTTTATGTCCGCCTCGTGGAATCGCGGCATCCATAGCAATGTGATGGGTAACTTGATCAACGTGACCTCGGACATAGCTTGACTCATTTTATTCTCCTTGTTTCTGTTTTTTTTTTTTGGGATTTTTTCTTCCAAAGACGATCACTTGGAAATTCAATCAGTTTATGCAGCTGCGTACCAAGGCCAACACAAAAATAAGTGCACAAGTGCGAAAAAAAGGAGAGAAGCCTTAATGATATACAGGATCGCTTCCTGGTTCGCTGGCCTTCTCCGGGTCTCTGTTTGCTTATTTGTTTGTCCCTGTTTTGCTTTGCAATTGCCAAATATTTGTCACATAATCCACTAAAAAGATAAATATATATATAAGAGGGAAGTCGTTCCAGTTTACCGATCAATGCTAATTAGAAAATCGATTGATCAATCATTGGCAAAATAAATAAAAACTGAAACCGAAAACCGGGAAAGAAAGAAAGATTTATTAAGGCCATTCATTTCACAATTAAATTCCTTGGCTAATAGCTAATAATAATTAGTTAATGTCTTGTAAAATAATCGTCATTTTTCATAAATTGCCCAGATAGGTTGCCGGCAATGCGTGGAATTTGTAAAATGCCTTTTGCGATTATAACTTGGCAAAAAAAATACAAAATAAAGCTAAAAGCCAAAAAAAAAAGGTGTCAGTTGGACAGACGCAGGTGTGTGTGTGCAATGCCCCACCTTTTTGGCCAACTCTCCACCCGCCCCCCTCCCTCAATATCTATTCCGACCTGTCTCTCAGCTGGAATTGCATAAATATAAATAAGCAAATGAGCAGCACCAACGGTTAATCAATAAGCCCAAAAGATTGGATAATATTTGCCGGGCAGGGACGGGAGGCTGAGTCTTTGGTCGGATGGATGTTACCACTGAGATAAAAAAAAAAACACCATGAGGTATCAGCCAAGACTTGTCTTGCATATGTTGCGTGCCCTGCTAATTGCAGCCGAAGCGGTTAAAACGGCCAAGACGGCCAAAGCGGTTGAAGCGGCCAACGCGGCGTATGTGTAATGCGGTTAATCAACGATGAACGAACGGCCTTGAGACCAGCTGCCAACCAGTTTCAGCTTATGAAATCAACAGCACTAACTTGGCCCAAACGGGGCGGCGAAGGGGGCTGCTGCCAGGGGGTCTGCTGCCGAGGGGGACGGACATACAGCGAGCGAAAGAGAAAGGTAGAGAGCTAAGCATCCCAAAAAAATGCAAGTGAATGTTACTGCACAAGAAAAATTCAATAAATAGTTTTATGAATGCATTTGATCAATTTCTTTCTAATTTTGATCAAAAATATATAAAGATATCATAAGTAATTTTAAAGAATATAACTATTAACTAATTGAAGCGAATTTAACTAAGAAGAACAAGATAGATTTCAGTTATAAGAGGCTTGGTCTTTAAAACATGAAGATGGACTTATATTAAACAAGTTAAGCCGCCTTTTAGTGGCTTTATGCTAAACTCTCTTATACGAAAAAAAATGGTATATAATTAAACACTATCGGTTAAAATTAAAATATATCACTCAAAATTGTAAAATTTTTCAATAGTTCATTAGTTAAATCTAAGAGTTTCATCCATAACTCAGAGAGCTGTATTAATGTAATATCCAGTACCATTGCTCACATTTTAAAAGGATTTTGGGTAAAAATTTAAATCTTTCATTTAATTACATAAACTGTTTACAATTTTTAAAACACTTTTTAAGACTTAAGTTGAATAATATGCAAAAATAGTTTATTTATTTTTTATATCACCCTTTTCAACTTTTAAGGTTTTCCTATTTAATTATTTAGGCAAAGTATTTTTTTTGTCTGTGATTTTAGCCTTTCATCTCCTTGGCCAAAACTAGTGCAGTTTGGTTTTGGTTACAGTTTAAGCCTGAACTTCCTAGTGGCCGACGCCATTGAAACAACTACAACAAAACCAAAACAGGCAACAACAACATAGCCAGAAGCAGGTGTGAATGATTTAGTGTTAACATGGCCGTAACCAAGCCAAAGCTTAACGGCGGCGCTCCTGTCGATCCGGCCAAGACGTCTATGGTTCTCCGCCAGCTACTACCTCTCTCTTTCCCTCCACCGAATAAAAGCCTGGCCTAAAGCCGAAGCTGTGGTCTGCCTGCAGTTGCTGCCTCTGTCTCTATCTCTGCCTCAGTTGCTGGCTCTGTCGCTGCCGCTGCCTCGGCCAACGTCGACTGAATGGCAACGGCAACGGTTTTCGATGGTTGGAGCGTTCATCATTTTGCCATTTCACGTTCAGCTGGCAGCGAAATCGAAAGTGACTGCTCCCCACACACAAGAAGCCAAGTTAGCAAGTCACCAAGGAGGCCCCCCTTGCATTGTATTTTCAAAAAAAAATATATATATTATTCGAGTTTTTGAACAAAACTGAATCTGCCACAGATCCTGGGCTGTCTCTGTATCTGTGTGTATGTGTGCCTGTTTGTGTGTGTATGTGTTGGCCAGCTGATGTATAAAAAGAGAGCCACCAGCACGAAAAGAAGTTAAAAGCCAGATTCAAGCTCAAGCCTAAAAAAGCCGCAAAGCGGTTGCCGAAAAAGTGCATTATTTTTTTTCAATTTTTTTTTTATTTTTTAGCCACATGGCCACAAACACACACACATGGTCCAGACACAATAGTCACCCTCGTCTCCATCTCTAAAGAAAATAAATTTAAATATTGAATATTTTTTTTTGCCTCCCCCTCCCCCGCCACCTAAAAAAAAAAGTGTCCAACTCGTAAAATAAAAGTGAAAAGTGAAAGTGCAACTCAAAAATGACCAAAGTGAACACAATAACAAACAAAAGCAACAAACAAACAACAAACAAATGTGGCTAATAATAAAAAATTTAAAAAAAAACTTCAAAGTGCATAACAATTAAACAATTTAGTTGAAAATCAATTTCTGTCATTCAATATATATATTTATTTTTATAGCAAGATTTGTACAATTTTTTTAATGTTTTTGTTTTGTTTTCTCGTTGAAGCTGATGCAGGCAAGTTGACTTTCAAAAAGTGTCAATAAAATTTATGTAAAAAAGCAAATAAACGAAAAGTTGATAAAACCGACCAAAGCAACAACAACCATAAGCACACACACACCACATAACAACAACAAGGAGAGCAACTTTAATAAAAAAAAGCCGCCAAAGGAGTCGCAAAAAAAATTAAACACAAATAACATTAAAACAAAATGCTGCTCAAAATGTAAGTAAAAACAAAGGAAAAATATGAAAAAAATTAAAATATATTTATATTTTCAAGTGGGAGGGAAAAAAACTAAGAAATAAACAATGGCTCAAGGTCAAGATTAAAGATTTTGGCAAATTATGCAAATATTAAAGTCTTTTTTTCATGAAAGAGTTTATTAAAATTTATGACAATAGACCTTGGCAATTGTTTCTTGTCTTGAAAAGCCCCATCAAATTTTTATCCTTTTTTTGTAATGAATTTTTCTCCCCCCCAAAAAAAAAAGATTATAGAACAAGTATATTACGTATACGCCGAGTGATCTCGTTTTTGGCCTGCAGCTGTTAACCTTGGTCTTTGGCTTTTCAATCGCATTTCAAGACAGTTTCAGTCAATCAGTGGGCCAATATCCATGAATTATGTCCATTCGAGGCGTGCCAATGAGCCACCTTTTGCAGTTTTTTTTTTGGCCCAAAAGGTCAGGCCGAATGCGATCTCTCTTTTTGGAAAGGTCAACCGGTGTGCCGGAGGAAACGGCGGAAACGAGAGGTGGTGGCAGAAAGAAGAAGTCAACAAACCTTTTGGCAACACACGACGCATCTACTTAACAATGCAAAACTTACTTTACATTTACATGGCTGCTAATATTGTTGTTGTTGGTATTGTTATTGTTATTGTTGTTGTTGCCACAGCTTGATGCTTCACTGCCTCTCGAATACGTCAATGCCCGCCCGAACTCCCCAACATCGAAGTCGAAGTCGAAATTGAAGTTAGAGCCTCAAAAAGCCACTCCACAAAAAAAATACTTTTTTCTCTCCCTTTTTGTTGTTTTTTTGGCCAAAATGAATTGCCAAATTATAATACAAATTGCATGCCACACCCGCTAACTGAAAGCAAAAAGAAACAAATTAACGGCAGCGCTTTGCCAAACTTAGCACTCCCTTTCCATGGGCCTGGAGTTGCAAAAAGTGCATCCACAAGATACAACCTGATCTGACCAAGACAATGGGCCCCCCTATGGGGGCTGAGGATGGTGGCTATGGGTATATTATTCAGTCAGTCAGTCAAACATGTCTAAAGTTACACACATGGGAGTAGCAATCAAAAAATTATGCACTGAGAGAAATAAGGAGATAGGTAGGGAAAGCTAAAAAGGTAATAATTTAAAGCACAAGATGGCTAAAGATTTGAATATTAATATTTGAAACATGGCCTAAAAACCTTAATTTAGTTTCTTCATAATAGTGATACCTAGTATATAATAGTGATATAACATATATTAAGTATCATACACATATGTAGCACAGTACTTTTATATTAAATTAATTAAAAAGAACCGTGTATCATATAGCCTTAAAAGTTATTTACTTTTTTTACTCCAAAAAGTCACTATAAATTGTTCTCTATAAAATTTCTTAAAAAAAGTCTATTTAAATTTTAGTAGCGTCCATAAAACATACAACTCTATCCCGGTCTCCGGGAATCATATAGCCCCAAGTCTGCATCAGCTTCCCCCCCCTCAATGCCAACAATTAGAGTAACAAAATCATCAGTTTGTTAACTCAGTTAGAGTCATTTGGCTGTAGAGTCATGAAAGCCAACCGTTAAATGCCTATTATTGGCAATGAATGTTCAAAATGTGCAGAAGGTGTTTAATGGGTTTCCGAGTCAAGGCGATCGTGGTATCAGTTCGATTCTTGGAATTCAATTCACACGTTCTATGAGTCAGCTTCCACCGATAATTGTCTATGAAATGTGTTGAGTAATCAATTAATATTGCTCCAAATTAACCTAATCAAAGTCCCATCTGACATTCAGCATTCAAGCCAAGAAATATAACTGGCCCGACACCAGTTTGTGAGCCAAAAATTGTGAATGGAAATTGTGCTGAGGTGTGCGCATTGTCACCTCAAGCATGACTTGGCCCAAAGCCCTTGCAATTGCAACTCCAAGCTGCAACATATGAGGGGCATATACATGGCATTATAGCCACATTGCTATGGCAATTTGCACGACGACGATGTGGCCATAATTATAACTTTTCTTGAAGGCAAGACTCGCCGAGAGTCGCAGACTTATGGCCATTGTTGAGCGGTTGCCCGTTTTGGGTCTGTTGCAATTAAAATAAGTTGAAGTTGTCTACCTTTACAGCAGCAACACCAGTCACAACAACAAGGTGTTGCCTGGTTGTTGGTTGTTCGTTCGTTCGTTGTTGGTTGTTTTGTGGCAGTCCCCGAAACTTGTTCGACCGAACCGAGAAGAGAAGTGAACGCAACGCTACTCCAAGCGACTTGCACATAATTCAAAATGTTAAAAGTTATCGTCAAGAGCGCTCTGTCCCCAATATGCACTGCAAAAAATCTAAAGGGGAAAATATTTTTGGTAGAATGAGAACAAGTTTTGATTTTGTAGAAAAAAATCTATTCATCTTAACATTAAACATCAGAAATTGAAACAGTAATAGTAACAATTTTCTAAAAATAATCACATGTATATTTTAGACACTTTTTTGGGGTTTAAGAATTTTTATTAAAATTTCAAATATTACATATTTTCTAAACTATTTTCGCAGGCTAGTTATTCGAATAAAAATAAATTGAATTTGTATGCAAATAAAATAGTAAATCATTGAAAGTTCTATGCCACTTTCTATTTCAATAATAATTACAAGATCCTCGGTTTTAAATTTTAAAAAAATGTTAGCTGTTGTAGAATTTCCGTAGAAGCTTCTAATATTCATATTTATTTTAAAAACATATTAAAACTTCACCAAAATTGCCCAAAATAGGACTGGTTCTCCAGAAAGTAATCATAAATAAGCCCCCAATTGTTCACTCTGTATTAGGCCAAGTCTGGAAGGCAAGAAAAAAAATTAAACCGGAGACTATTGACGGTAACCGGGACCTCCGATCTGGTTTGATCTGGTCTGGAATCGAAATGGGTTAACACCTTTTGTTCGGATAAACCGGTTGGTCGGTCAGTAAATTTGCGATTCCTGGGCTCTAGTTTCCCGATCGATCGTATGGCACTGTATTATATTTTTTTTTCTTTCATATTTTGTATTTTTTCATATACTTTTGCTTTTGTAGTACTTTTGCTTTTGCGGTTTGCCTTGAGCATCGCTTTCATTGCATTGCAATGCGGATTCGCAGAGCCCAATGAACTATTGGTGTTTAGCTATTTATTTTTTTTTCATTTTTGTGTTGTTTTGTTGCCATTTTGCGAATTTTTGCCGTTACCGGCGGAGTTGCACGATCCAAACGGAACGATCCATTCAGCAGTGGCTATACCCACTACTATACCATATAGACATGACCAAATCGCATGCGCAATCGACTTTGCGGAGCTAATGAAATTGTGAAAGGTTTTTCATGCCAGATTAGAGACGCCGCATCGACGGAGATGAGGCGGCTGAAATGGCTGAAAAGTGAGCAGCCATCGAAGCCGAAAGTCACTGGAATCAGCTAAATATATATATATATTTGTATATAGATGTGGTGGAAACACTGAAACCGGCTAGCCGTGATGGCTGATTAAGAGCACGCGCCGATCACGCCGCCGGCTGGTCTTTCCATCAAAGTCACACAAATAAATACCCTCTCGGTTTTTGGTCAGCAATTTATTTTAGTTAATGGCTTAAAGTATTAATACGAATGGTTTAAAAGATTGGTATTAAATGGTACTCCTTAGAACGGATTCAGAGAGGAAAACGAAAGATTCAATAAGATATTTTATTAAGAAATATTGAAATTGGAAATACATACTCAGTACATCTTACTTGCGATAAATATTCTTTATTGGTATTATTCTTTTCAAAATAAATATTCACCAACAATTTGAAATAAATATTTGTAAATATTCATTAATTTAAGCCATATCAAACTATTTAAAAGCCATGATACCCCATGAGAGCCATGAGAGTATGAAATGAAAACTCCAAGCCCGATCCGATTATTAAGTTTTTGGGGGGCTGGGGACTAATTGGGTTAGACTTGGCTGAATGCACTAAGATGGGGCTCTGGATAAACTCGGGCTTCCAAGCTGCCAAGCCTATTTAAGCCGGGCTAAGACACAAATGGGCTTAAAAGAGAGATGTTGTTAATCACAATCACTTTCTTATCAAATGGCAGACTAAATAAGCTTTTACAAAATTAAATTAAAAAGAAATTAAGTTGTGGGAAGTGAGGATTACTGTATCAGATAATTAAAATAATTTTAAGATAAATAATTCCTCTAATTTTAAATAAATTCTAACAAAAATATTGTTTTATTGTTGCAGTTGTCTTTTGGCCTTTTTGGCCACACAAGCGACAGCAGAATCAGCGGATCCTCTGGCCACTTCCGCCAGCGAGAGCCAGTTGAAGCTGGTCGAGGAAAGCCCCGGCGCTCCGGCCATTCCCTTCGAGACCTCCCACAAGAATCCGGATGCGGCGGACGACCGCGAGGAGGGCTTCCACACGGCCCACCGGATCAGCATACGGGCCACGGACCCGGCCGACTACTCGATGAACCTCCTGCCCACCAAGGAGCGTCCCGAGCTGAATCCGGTGCTCAGCGCCCTGATCAACGAGGACGTGATGAAGAGCATCGAGGCCAAGCGTGCCATCGAGGAGGAGGAGTTGGCGGAGGTGCGTCGCGAAGTGGAGGCGGCCGCCCAGGCTGAGCTGGCTCAGAAGCGTGCCGTCACCGATTCTCCCATATCCCCACTGACGACCCTGCCGACGGCTTCCAAGAAGATCGACAGCCTGGACGACGACGTGGTGGTGGATCCGCATGAGGAGTTTGTCAACCAGAACTTTGCCCTGGAGGGAGCCGGCAGCGAGAACAACAAGAAGTCCCGCATTGAGATCAAGAAAGGACCTAACGGCCAGGACTACGAGTACGAGTACGTCTACTACTACGAGGAGGATGATGAGCCGGCCAAGGCCGAGGCAGCTCCTGCCGAGCCCGAGACCCGCGGAAAGACCCGGTACACGAACATCGAGCGCAGCACCACGGCCACGCCCAGCGAGAACAGCCTCCAGAGCGGCAAGGCCAAGGGTCGGTCCTCGGAGACCCCGGAGGACATCGAGGCCGAGCGCCTGCCCATGATCACCCGCTTCCCCAGCCGCGGCAAGAACGTAGACGTGCCCCCCACTCCGGCCCTGGACTCCCTGGAGAACGCCGCCGAGCGCAAGAAGATCAGCGTGAAGCGCCCCAGCCTGGAGCTGGTCGACAGCGAGACTTTCAATACGGACGAGAAGCAGCCCAAGGGAACCCGGAACGCCGACAACGAACTGAAGCCAGTGATTGCCATCGAGAAGGAGCAGGCGGCAGCGGCCGAGGCCGCCCGCAAGAAGCAGGACCAGGAGAAGTCGGCTGAAAGCCCTGCCGCACCCGAGGAGGAGGCCGAGCAGACCACGCCCTCCATGGAGAAGGCCGCCCTCGACTTGTACGCCATCCTCACCAACGAGAACCTCAACAACGAGGAGACCACCGCTATCGCCGACGTGGAGGGAGTCACCACTCTGTCTCCCGACACCGCCAGCACTGACGAGGATGAGAACCTCACCACCCTGATTGATGAGATCTCCTCCAGCAGCACTACCACCACCACGACCACAACCACCACCACCACAACCACCACAGAGGCGCCGACCACCACCACCACGACCACAACCACAGCAGCGCCCTCTCTGTTCGGCGGACGAAGGGCCGGAATCAACGGTCTGGCGGGACGCAACCGCTTCAAGCTGAGGGAAGGAGGAGCCGCCAGCACCACCACCAGCACCACCGAGGCACCAGCCAGTGAACCCACCAAAACAGGACGCAGTAAGATTATTTATAATTTAAAATTAAAACTATAAAATATTAAATTTCATTAATTTTGCAGACCGCTTCTCTCGTCCGTCCATTGGAGGACGCTCTCGTCTGGGCGCTCGTACCACCGCCAGCCCTGAAGCCGCTCCCGCTGCCGCTGAGGAGGAGGTGGTGGCCCCCAAGGAAGTGAAGCCAGTCAGCTCAGGATTTGCGCGTGGCAGACGTGAGTATTTTGAAGATCTTTCTCTCTTGAGGAATTTTAAAAGAAAAGTCTAAAATATTAAAACTAGTTCAAAGTCAAGTAATATTTCCCAACTAAGGCCTTCAAACTAAAAATTTGAATTCCCTTAAAATCATAATTTAAAAGCATTCACTTCCAAGCCTGAAAAATATTGGGAAACTTTAAAAACAAGCCTCTTGAATAATTAATACAATTTTGATAAGCTGTCTATCTGTTTTATTGAAAATTAATCTAAAAGATTGTGTCTCAGTCTTGAGCTACTCAGTGGGTCAAGGTTAAAGTATTTAGCATTTAAATCTCTTACTTTAGTTGCTAATTTTAGGTTTTTTGTCTTTTGAAAGTGAAATGTTAAAGATAGGCCGTCAGTGGCCACAAATTATAATATATTTTAATTTAAATATTTATCTTCAGCACGTAACCGCTTCAACCTGCGCGGCTCCACCACCAGCACCACCGAGCGCCCCAGCGAGGAGGGAGCCCCCGCCGCCGAGGGTGAGGACTCCGCCGCCGGCGCCGCACCATCCACCACCGCCCGCAGCACCCTGCGCAACCGTCCTGGACTGGCCCTGCGCGGACGCAGCCGCACCACCACCACCAAGGCGCCCGCCAGCGAGGGAGCCGAGGAGGGCAGCCCCGCCGCCGCCGGCAACTCCGAGGAAGGCAAGGCCGCTCCCGCTGCCGCCGAGCCCGTGCGCCCATCCCGCTTCAACCTGCATCGCGCCGGTGGCAACAGGCTGCTGCCACGCGGCAAGCTGGGACGCGCCGGAGTGAGCACTGAGGCGCCCAAGGAGGCGGCCACCCCGGAGGACTCCGCCGCCGACAGCACCAGCCACCACAACGACGTCAAGGAGGAAGAGGGCGGCGAGTCCGGCGACAAGGCCGCCGCCGAGGGTGCGGAGGCTGCTGCCGCCCCGTCCGGCCCCGTCTCCGGCCTGAACCGCCTGAAGACCCGGCCACGCCTCAATGCCCTGCACAAGACTGATGCGGCCAAGCCGAAGGCAGCCGCAGCCCCCGCCCCCGCCCCGGCGCCTAGGAAGATCAACCCTCTGCTGGCCAAGCGACGCCTGCACCTGGCCGGCGCTACCTCGACGACAGGTAAGGATGAGCAGGATGCAGTGGTCCCCAGTTAGTCTTCATATTAATATTTTTTTTTTCAAAAAACAGAAGCTCCCGCCGAGGAGGAGCACTCCGGAAGCGACAACTCCGGAGAGCAGCCCGCCAAGGAGGAGGCGGCCGCCAGCGACGAGTCCGCCGCCGGAGAGGCAGCCGGAAAGCAGGAGCAGGACACCACGGAGGCGGCAGAGAGCACCACCAAGCAGCAGGCCCGCGGTCTGGGGCTTCTTGGACAGCGTCGTCGCCTGCCGCTCCGCAAGCCCGGCACAATCCTGTAAAGCGGTCACAGGACGCGCACACACACACACTCAAACACACTCACCGCCATCCGCCCCAACTGAATCCTGAATAGAATACTCCTCACGATTCGCTGCGGCAGCAAAACTCCTAATATATAATTTCTTTCCGGATGGCCCCACAAGCGATAATGTTTTGATATAAATTACGTATGTCCTTAAGTTTCCTCCTTCCTCCTGAATGAATACTTCTTCTCCGCCGCCCGCCGTCCGCCAACCGCCACAGCCGTTAGCTTTTTAACAAATAACACTAATTAAAGTAACTGTTAGTGCGGATATACTATATACTAAAAATATATATATGTAAGCTATCCCCCCATCAGCCAGGAGATAATAAGAAAGTCACCAAAATAGGAAACTCAAACTGAAACTGAAACGGAAACGGAAGCGGAAATGGAGCGGAGGAGATCCAAGCCACTCGTAGATCACTAAGCACTTAAGACCCAGCTATATATATATATATACTCTATATAAATATGTATATTCAGAGATTCACATCTCCTGGTATATACATATGTGTATCCTTGCCTCTATATACCTGTTCCCCGATTTCTGAATGGCGCTTTGAAGCGCTGCCGTGTATAGCAGATACATTTATTATTATATTTTTTTTCTGAGATACAATTATAAACAACAAACACAAAAACGACAAAAAAAGATAAAACAAAAAACGACTTTTAATTATATATTGAATAAAAACGAAAAGATAAAATTAAACAATGTCTTGTGAGTTAATTTCTTTTGAAGATCGCCACAAAGTAGGCTATGAAAATGTAAGTAAAATCTTTAAGAGATATCTTTTAGGTTAAAATTATAAAACCTTATATATCTTATATCTTACCTATACCAATTTTGATCAAAAAACTCTTAAGAATCTCGTAACCCCAACCTTGAATCCAATTATTTGTTTGTTTTCTTCCAACTATCTATGTAACTTTCCCAAACTGGCCAAACATTGACTCAACGCGAGTCGAGTTCTGTATTCGAGTTATTCAAACAGATGCTCGAACGGTGTCAAGACATTGAACCGATTAACCGATAAAGTTATAGCACTATAAACATGTCTATGTATTCCACCCACTTCTGATATAAAAACGAGGGAACTATCTCATGGAGAGTTTAGATCGAAAGCAGGCAGCATTATGTGGAGTCGTTGGATTATTTTCACAGCCATTTCCTGGGCGATTTTTGTGAACTCCCCGGCGGAGAGTAAAAACCAAACCTCAGATGTTCTCTTAGAGGAAGGCAACAAGCAATTGAACCTCATCCTGCAAGCCATCAACGAACTGGAGCAACAGAAATGGATTCAAAAAGCGGGAAGCTCACAGAACTCGAATCAGAATCAGAATCCAAAACAGAGACCTAACAGCAAGCGATTGAGGTGGAATCGAAAACCAATCCAGCCAGATCCGGAGGAGTACGACGAGGTGGAGAGTCGTGGAATTGGGGGTTACTCTTCCTCGTATTCGGATCAAGGAAATCCCACTTATCTTGATGTTGGAAACTTTTCCCCAACTCCAGCTCCATGGTGGTTTAATTAGTTTGCATTAGCGGATTACAGTGTATATAATACTTCAATTTTTTTTTTTAGAATAATACATCTCTTTAAGGCCTAGATTTAATAAAAAAATAGATTCGTTTATTTGTAACCATGGCGTATACGTAATATGCAGAAAAATCACCTACATGGCTTCTAAAATAATAACGTATATGCCTGCTACAACCATTTAAAAAGTGTTCTTTAAAGAATAACTGAAATAAAAATTTAATTCATTAATGTTAAATGTAAATAAAACTAACATTTTTTTTTTAATATTTACATACTTCTCTTGACAAAAAGTTGTAAGTTTCAAAACCAATTTTCACACCTTATCTCGGCCATCCTGAGCTTTGACTTCAAGCCCCAAGACAGCTACCAAGTGGATTAGCTTTTATATAACTTTTGGGCCATAATTCGAGCAAGTTAGAGCCCCAACCCCCTTTTGTGGGCCTGGCTTTTGTGGCTCAATTTGTTTGCTTTGATTCAACGCGATCGAATTGGATCGTAAAGTGAAATGTTAGCATTGATTGATTGATGGATGCATTGGGTATCGGTTGGGGGCTTTGAGGGTCACTTTGAAAAAAAGGGCGTGTGCTGGGTCACTCAGTCATTCGGACAGTTGCCTACTTTTTATTGCCAAATTGGCAAATTTTTAAGCAATTTTTACTACCTCTTAGAAAGGGAATATTGGAAAGAAAGTAATATTGGATAGTTTTTCCAAAAAAATATAAGATACACTTTTAATGAGTTTCCTTTAATGAGTTGCTTCAGAGATTTTTTTATTTTTCTTATAAATAAATAATTACTATTACAGGTAATCAACTAGTCCATCAGTTGGAAAGACCCTTTCCTTCCTGCTCACTATCCAATTGAATTTGGTAATTCGAGCACATTCATTGCGAGTCTATCTATACTTTAGGAGCAAAATCATTGTTAGCCTTGACACCGGGGCGTATGCGTAATCGAATAGCCAAAGCGGAACTCTTGGCTTACGGTTTCGAATTTCATTCCTACACTTATTTCCGATTAGCAGTTGGCCAACTATATAATGCCAATTGCTGCCAACTGAGTGCACTTTTCGGCTGTCGTCAAATGGAAGGAAGGAAGCAGAGCGTGGCCGTTGCAAGGCCGATCGTTTAGTTAGTTGGCTTAAAACAACACAGAGAAACAGCCAAAGCCAAGAAGCCAAAAAGCAAATATCCAAATAAGTAGTGGTATGAAAAAAAAAATAAAAAAAATGGTAATAAGAACTACCCATCCAACACCGCACCCCACTTAGAACCACGATTAGCAGCAGTTGTTCAAACAGAAATTTACTGGCTGGCTGGTTCAGCTTCAGTTGATAATTAAATATATTGTGGCCGGTGCTGTGGTCTTTTCTTTTATGGCCAACATTTTTAATTGGTCAAGACAAAGGCACAGTTTTTATGCATAATTAGAGGCTTGAAATTTTGGCTTTCAGCACAGTCCTTCACATTGCCGAAATGGCTAATTACGATTAGTAATAAAAATTAGTAAAGAAAGCTAAATCGAATGGGAGTGGAAGTTCAGATACACTTTTGCTTTAAAATTATACACTTTATAAGTTCTGTGGGGGTAAACTAGTTATACCCTTTGAAAGTATATCCAACCCACAGGTGGTTATAAAAATATTTCTAAAACTGGCGTAACTTTTCATCACGATGAGCAATCGAAGCTTAACCTTGAAAGAGTTCAGCCACCAATACCATATTTAAGGCCCTTCTAATTTTAATTATAGTATCACCCATTAGGTCTATGAAAAATCCCCTTTAATAAGGCCTTACTGTACAAAGTCATCCAGCTTCCTAGAAGAGCTGTTTCCAAAAATGAAACCCCAGTAACCGGACCGGAGGCGGACTTGGAGGAAGCCAGATGTAGTAGCTTGGCCACTGAGATTTAAATAGTATTTAATTGATAACTAATTGCAGCGAGTCGAGTGCCAAATCTCGACAGTGAACGAAACGGCTGTGACGTTTTCAATGTTGCAACTTTTTAGCCAGTTAATTGGCATACCACATCGATACCCCATGGTGGCAAGAGTAACCAGAAAAAAGAGCAAACTTTTCACCAGGAAATCAATAGAAAATTGAAAAAAACGCACAAAACACGCAACTCCGCCACGCACATCTCAATCAAGTAAATGATCGATTAAATTTTCAATTTTCATTTAAATTATTTTAACGATTAACGTTTCGAGTCGTGGTCGTGCCAGAAAACCAAGAAAAACTCTGTTAAAAAATACTTAGCACTTTTCACTTTAGTTACTAATTTTACTAACAAATGTGGGAAAAAAAGTGACCCACTTGGTGGCTAAGACAAAAACCAGGCCACCATTCTAGCCTATAAAATGTGCGACGTTGGCTTTCGATTCTTCAGATCACTTTCTCTACTCGTTCAGTCTTCAAGTCATAAAAAATATGAAACTTCAGGGGCATCTTCTTTTTCTGATGCTTGTTTTTGCAGCCTTCGCATCCGTTGTAAGTGCAAAGTCCTTAGAGGAGGATACCGCGGCGGAGAATACTTCGGAAGACAATACCACGAACGAGAATACCTCCGAGAGGAATAGATGGGAAGAGAATACTACGATTCAGTATAGCGGGGAAGGGAATACCACGGAAGATAATACTACGAACAGGAATACCACAAAATGGAGTGCCAGGAACGTGACTACTTCGCAAGGTAATACCAGAAACGAGACAAATACGCAAGGGTATACCACAGATGGGTATACTACCGAAGGGTTTACCACGGAAGGGATTACTACGAACAAGAATATGACAAAAACTAGTACCAGGAACGAGGATACCAGCAAAGAGGACACCTCAGACGAGGATAGCAAGGAAGATGAACCCCTCGACGACTACTGGTCCCAAGAAGAGGCTGTGATCGACCCAGCTGCCGTACAAACTCCAGTAGATTACCTAGATGTGGCAGACTTTACCCCAGCGGCTTCTCCATGGTGGTGGAATTAAGGACCCTTTTTTTCTAAAATATTTATAAAAAATTTTATTTATTTCCAACTTTTTTTTTATAGGCTTAAGACCAGTTTCATATAATTCCTAGAATACGATATTTAAAGTCCCAATTTAATAAACCCACTCGTACCATTTCACTTATTTAAACATCAAAGAAAATAAGTGATAAAATCAAGTCTATAATTATTAGCCACTTTTCTGTTTACCTTTCATAATTGAAACAGAAAACTTGGTTGTTGTGACTGCTGGTTTTATTTATTACACGTTTCACCCGCGGATACACTGAGCGGAACTGGAGCTGTCAAGCGGTGAACATGGGTTGTCTGGCTAATTTACTAATCTCTAAATCAGTTCAATCGTCTTTGGCCGCTCACCGCTAATGGAAGTGTTCGTCATGCGACGATCTGGCGATTATTAATCGATTATAGTCCGATTATCACATTGGGCATCTTAAAGAGTCATACGAAATACAGCTTACGCTGTCTTAAGATAAACCGATGTCTTTCATAAATTTTGAGCGCAACCAGCTGATTTATCCACTCGGCTAAGCGATCTCTAATCCCCCCCTCAGACCCGATCACATTGTAACATTTTTGACTACTGACTTTTCCTCTTGCGTGACAAGAGCACTGAATTTGTAGGAAAATTATGCTCCAGGCAGTGCAATAGACAAGGCACTGGGAGAAATGCTCTACTTTTTATATAAATGGGGGAATAAAATTAAGAGGGTGAGGAAGTAGTACCGGATATCATACAGTCTTACAAGAGATACTATTTTTTTAAAGAAAATATTCGATGAAGGAATACGAAGGTATATCTTAAAAGTAAGTAACCAATTCTGTTAAAAGAATAAATCAGAGAAGTTATAGGTACCATACTTACATACATACATCTAAATCTCTCGAGGGCTTGAAATATTCCTCCAATCTATTTAACAATTAATACCCCCAGGTAAAATTTTCCAAAGTGCATCTGTTAAGTGCAATTGGGGACAGTTGTGATGGGTGCATGCGAGCAGGAAATCCATATAGCTTGTCTGATTTTGACCAAAACAAATAAATCCAGCTGGTAGACGGGACGGCTCGACGGTCAGGGCCATGGACATTGAACTTGAAAACGCAGCCAACAAACAAAATCGAACGGAAAATGTTTTCGGCTAAGGTTATGGGGGATATTGGATAGAAAAGTAGTTGGGCGACTGGTTTGCCATTGGCCGGGCCAAAACAAAAAGGCCCGGCCCGATCGAATCGTCTACCTCCCGAATGGATGATGAAAATCAAAAAGAGTTGGCGGCCACTTGCCATAAATGAAAAATAAAATGATTAAAAACAAAAAGAAAAAATAAAATAAAAAATAAAACAAAAAGTGTAAACACGAGCTGGTAATGTCATTAGAGTTTGTTTCATTTTCCGCCCAAAGATTCAAGTTGTTGCTGCTGTTAATGTTGCTACGGCTACTGCTAATGTTGCAAATTGCATAAGTGGCATAAGTTGGCAACGTTCGGCAATTATGTCAAAGAGTGCGGATCCGTTTCGTTTCGCTTCGTTCCGTAGCAACTTTTGGCCACTTAGCCATTTGATAATGTTGTTTTGTATCGTGTCGCGACGGTGGTGGTGGTGGTGGTGGCGTAGAAAACCAAAAAATAAAACCGGATTCAATTATTGGGAAAAGCGTTCCGTTGAACGTCGCATTTTTAATGCAACCATGCCACATGCATTGTGATGCGTATAAATCATCCGCGGCCGCTCTAGGCTCTCGACAACAAAACAAATAAACAAGACACGGCATCCCACAACAAAACCGAAAACAAGTCAATTCGATTTAAATGATAGGTTCAACGGCTGGCGATTGGCGATCGCATCATTAATTGCCTCTGAGTAGTGAGTTATGCAACTAGCAACATCAACATCAACACCAACAGGCTGCAGCCTGCAACCTGCAACCTGCAACAGCAGCAACATACGCAGCTTGCAACGCACAATTAATTAATAAAACGCACTGGTTATTTTTTTAAGTATCTCTCCTTATGGTCCGACCAACTGTGCGTAATAAATTAAGCATTAGTCGTATGTAATTATGTAGAGCATATTGCGAATTGTGCGTGTTTGTCAAGCTATTTATTTTGGTTTTGATTTATTTTATTAATTTTTGGCTGGCTTTCAGTAGGCGGGGTTTGAGAATGCGGTCAAGGGTTTCGATTTCTTACTCTTAAGTGGTCTAAATATCATAAAATATATTTTTATTTCTTGAAATATGTGAAAGCTTAAGTTTTTTTATTTAATCATTTTTACAATCTAATTCGAATACTTCCCCTTAGAAAAAAAATTCTTATACAGCTACATCTTAATTGTCACATATTTCATTTCTTAAAATGATTTTTTATAAAACCACCTAATAAAAAATGCTTCCTAATTTGCAATAGAATTTTTTGCTTTACTTAGTGAGTGGGTCTAGCCATTTGAGATTAATGCAATCCACTCTATCAGCGGAGGTCGTAGAACACATCAAAACTAAATGAAAACTTTGAGCCCCTTGGCGCCAAAACAAAAACCTCTCCTTCCCCTTCTTGGTGGGTTTTTTATTATGCGTGGTTAGTTTTTTAAGCCACCTGCATTGGGCCAAGCGTTATGCGAATGCATTTGAATTTCTGCAGTTTCCAGCTTGCGGCGATGGCCATTAGAGCATTACCAGAAAAAAAACCCATTTAGGGCGCCCTAAAAGCCGAAACGACTGCGAGGACCACAAGTGCCGGCAGTGGCATGTGTGCTTCCTGATTTTCAAACATGTGTTTCTCTACTAACTGATGTAATTTCTGGCTTTTGAAAGGGAATCCGGCCAACACGTGCCTCTAAATCTTGGATTTGTAATTAAACCCAAAAAAAAAAAATCAAATGGCTGACCCTGGGATTGTGAATCATCGATGACGCCCTGTCCAGCCCCAAAAAAAACCTGAGCAATTCAATAAAAGAATAGATAGTATAAATATAGTATGAAATTAAATATTTTACTTGATACACCATAAAGTAAAGTTTATTTATTTAAGTTGATATTTTATTAAAATGATGAGCTTATTTTTGAACAGTTTATTAGTTTATTAGTTTTCTATATTATTATAGATTTGATTTACATTTCTTATTGTATATTATTTTAATAAAATTAATCTCTAAAATAATGTAATCTTTTATAGTCTTTAGCTAATTTTTTAAGCCTAACCCTTAGCTTTTCAAAAGCTTGCCTCTCCCTTAATAGTTTCTTTGAACAAATTACAATTTTTTTAAGCTCATTGCAATTATTAAATAAACTTTAATTTTTCCTACTGACAAGGCACTATTTTAAGATTATTTAAAGCGAAAAAAACCCCATACCCTTTCCAAAAATTTAAAAAAAAAAAAAATTTGGCAAACCCAATCAAAGTGGCAACAGCGAAAGGTTCAGTGGTTCAATGGTTGAGGGTTGCGAGCTCAACCTGTGTGCTTTAAACGGAATTAAAAAGACCGCTAAACATGCGTGAAAATCAATCATGGAACACTCAAAATCCCCAGCCAACCACGCACAATCGCACCAAATTATAATGATCGCTGGAAAAAAATAGAAACCACCCGAAAACCACCCGATATCCACCCGAAGTGCTGGTGGCTATGCTATTATTTTTGTGGTGGTTTTCAAACCCGAAGAGGCTGGGACCACGCGTTGGCGCCTTCGGTTTTGGTTTCGGTTTCGGTTTCTTTTCGCTTGGCCCCCGCCTTCGGAGCAGACAAGCCTCATATAAAACCTGGCCAACTTATTATGGCCAACAGTCGTTAGCGCGCCACGGTTCATACCAGAGGATTAAAACCAAAATACAAACATTGTCTTATTTTAAATTCAAAATTTAAAAAAAAGAAAAAAATTTAAAACAGAATTTCTAAATCTCAAGGAACTCAAGGAGTTCTCAACACTTTTTTTTTTTATTGAATTGGCCAAGTGCTTAGTTTTTTGTGTGTTTTGTGCCATGAGCCAGGACAAAGTTGGGATCCTGCAGCTCCTGCTGTTGGGGCTCCTGGTGGCGCCCAGTTGGGCGGCCTACAAGCTTCAGGAGCGATATAGCTGGAACCAGCTGGACTTTGCCTTCCCCAACAACCGCCTTAAGGAGCAGGCCATGGCCAGCGGCGACTACATCCCCCAGAACGCCCTGCCCGTCGGGGTCGAGCATTATGGAAATCGGCTTTTCGTCACAGTGCCCCGATGGCGCGATGGTAAGTTTACAGCCTATTGGCAACTATTTCATCCGGAATTTCCTTATCCGGTGGCATGCAGATTGCGCTCAGACCTGGAGCTCTTTTGGGCATCATTAGCACTTACAAATTGGGAGCGGAATCGTGTGATTGAGGAATTGCTGTCAGTCTTTAAAGAAAATTGGTGTCTCTGATTGCCTAATTTAAAGCTTTTGGGTTGTAAACTAATTTTTAGTAGAGGAATGGGAGTGGTTTTTTGCGACAAGTGGTTTGTTATAATAAGGATATTGGTTTGGTTTAGGGGGAGTTTTTTAATTCCATTTCCGTATTACGATATTTTATGTTTTTAAATCGTGAATAATTTTAGATATTATCCTTTCTTGATCGTTTGATTTTAAAGAATATTTAAGCCAGGATTTGTAAATGGGATTTTTAATATTATAGTTTTAGGCAAATGTGTATTTCAACATTTTTCTTTTAAAAAAACAGTGCCAGCTTTGAGATCTTTTCTTGTTAATTTTTTAGTGCCTTCGTGCTTCAATCGTTCCAGTTCTTTTCAAATTTCCTTTCTAATTTAAAAGGAAGTGTATTTTTTTATTCTTGTTCTTAGATTTAGAAAGTTATTTAAACCTATTTAAAATAAGCCATTTAGCAAGCTCCTTAACAAAGGACTAGGTTTTTCTAGTGTGTTTTAGAATGGTTCAAAACCACGTGAATAATATAACTCCCCTTCTTAAAAACTGAACCTGAAACATAACGAACTCTCAGTTTTAACTCCTTATAAATACAATTTCTTAAGAAACATTTAATAATCTTTAAAAAGTTCTTATTAATATAATAAAACCCTTGACTAGCCACTTCCGGTTTCCAAAGAACACTATCTGGAAAAAAGTTCCAGAAAAGTGACAAACTCTTGTCATTGTCTTGCGATCGACTATTGGCATTATTTGTGGGGCTTTTGTGATGCGTTTTGTGACCTCTCGTAAATCCGGTTGATACCTCATGGGGCGCATTCATGTGTTGCATTTACATTTTTAACAATTAACCGTTGTAAAGTGGAATCGGTGGCAATAGCGCGGCATTGGCATTATATGACCATCGAAGGCATTATATCTTGGCAATTGTGAAGGCTTCTTCAGGGTCGCCACAAATGAAATAAATAAAAGACTGAGCCGTTACACACTCCACTGGAAATGGAAATGGAAATCCAATCACAAACAATAACACATTATGGAATTATGGCATTATGCCATTAACCCACGATTAGCTTTCAGTTGAATCAAAGTGAGAGTTGCACAAAGCCAATAGATAGACAATGATATTTTGCCAAAAATTATTGGTAAATTTTTAATCGGTTTAGTTTGCCAAATATATTAGCTAACATTTAGTTATACAAGTGGCTCGGAATTCTGGCTCAGCCTTGGGCTCTCTTACCTTTCCATCTCGAGAATGTCTCAACAAAAGACTACAAAAAGTCAGAAGGCCGAATTGCCGCAAAAATAAAGACACCAAGTATGTGAAAGTACTACCCTTTTTTTTTGTGGCAAGCTTCAATGGCCATCAAAGCAAATCAATTAGCCAAAGCCACCTGTAGTTGACAGTTTTTTGAGTTATGAATTAGCCATGCAAAGCCATTTAGACCACACACTCCAAACATTTAAGCCAACCGACGAAGGGCGAACCGCCGAGTGATCGAAAGATCAAAACAAATCTGACATTCATTGCAACATTTATTAGTGCGTTACATTAACAATTTATTGCCACAATTCTCACATAAATAATGGCCTCTCAATGCGACAGGATTACAAATTGAAATCGACTTTGAAATCGAAAATGAAATTGAAATTGAAACAGAAACCGAGACCAGAATGCGAATGTGAAACTGAGAATTGGCAACGTTAATTGGCCGGATAACGACTCAACTGCCAGACAGGCTCGTATTTCATATTAAATTCATTAAGTCCGGATTGCCAGGCCATTGAGCAAACCGTCCAGCCAGTGAGCCACTTGATCCATTGAGCCACCGTGTGGCTCACAAAAATTAGCCACTGGATGTGTGTGGCCCATTCCCAGTCTTTGTTTTTAATTTTAAAACATGGCTTTGCCTTGCATTTCAATGTACAGATTCATTAAACATGGTTTTTCTGATTTTTTGTTGGTGCCTTAAGCTTTAAGTTGTCTTTAGTTTTATTGATTAGTCTTTAAAGAAATAACTTAAATTCCTGTATTTTTTAAACGGCTTTTGACAACATTTTTGTAAAGATTTTCCGCACTTTTTTCTGAAAATACTTGGTCGATTCACGGATCATGGATAGCTTTTTGCTTACTATTTTTCTCTGAAATATATTTCACCATAAACTTTAAATTTCCACCATAAATTGTTTTTAGTTTTTGATGCTTCAAATAATAATATATTTTTATAAAAATGCATATTCCATAACAAGTTTAAAAAAGTCAATGGTGTTTTCATATGTTTCCTCATAACATCTTTTTCATTTTGCAATAAATTCCAATACTGTCTTGTATATTTTCGAAGAGTAATATTTAACAAGTAGTTTCACAAAGAAGTCTCGAAAAGTCTCTGATTTTCTCCCATAATTTCTTTATAATTTTTCAATGAATTATAATAAAGAAATTAGTTTATAATTCAATAAAAAACGTGTATTTGCAATTCCCAATTTAGACAAAAAACTTGAAAACACAATCATATTAGTTTCATTGCAAAAAACTGGTGGCAAACGAAACCCAAACACTCAATTGCATTTTCGCAGCTATTTTGTTTGTCTAATCTGCTAAAATAGCTTGCCTATTTTAACCAATTTTCCTCACTTAATTACATTTTTTGCCCCAATCGGGCCGATCTGGCCAATCTGCCATCTGAAATCCAAAGTCCGGCAATTTGTAAATATAGACACGAGCCAAGAGGCGTTGATCGGGCGGAAAAATCGCTGTCAACAGTATCGCATAATCTCTGATGAATGAGACTTGGCTAAAGACAGGTGGCAGGGGGGCGGCACAGCGGTAGTGTCAATAAGGGGGCGTGGCAATGTCGATGGTACGCTATTGAAAAATGTGGAGAAAATTGGCTGGGGAGTTGGCCAAGAGAGACAAGTCGGAGGAGCAGGTTCCACGGCGCTCGAAGCAATTGGAGCGGAAATCGCCCAAGACGATGACGGCGACGACGATGATATTGATGGCGATGATGTCAGAGCGTCTAGAGTGTGTTGCTTCAGTTGGCTAATGACATCGGAAATTGCACGCAACTTTTGGCAGTGCACCATTGGGACACTGTGGCGGACTAAGGCTTCAAAAGTGCAACAGCGAGTGACTCAACCCCCCGACTCGAAAAGTATGAAATTCCAAAAGTGCACACATCCGTTTGGCATTCTTATTTAATTGTGGTTCTTATGATTTATTTTCTGGATGAAATTCACTTAATTTATAGCCAAGCTTACTGACTTTTTATGGCCATATTTAAAACACTTGAGCAGAGTAATTGTTTATAATTTTTTACTTGAAGTGAAGCTTCTAACTTTGTATTTAAATTTTAATCTTTTCTCAGGCATTCCGGCCACTCTGACCTACATCAACATGGACCACAGCCTGACTGGCTCCCCAGAACTGATCCCCTATCCGGACTGGCGGGCCAATACGGCCGGAGACTGCGCCAACAGCATTACCACGGCCTATCGCATCAAGGTGGACGAGTGCGGGCGCCTTTGGGTCCTCGACACCGGTACCGTGGGCATTGGCAACACCACCACCAATCCCTGCCCCTACGCGATCAACATCTTCGACCTGGCCACCGACACCCGTATCCGGCGCTACGAGCTGCCCAGTGTGGACACCAATCCGAACACCTTCATCGCCAACATTGCCGTGGATATTGGCAAGAACTGTGACGATGCCTATGCCTATTTTGCGGACGAACTGGGCTACGGACTGATTTCCTACTCCTGGGAGCTGGACAAGTCATGGCGCTTCTCGGCGCACTCCTACTTCTTCCCGGATCCGCTGAGGGGCGACTTCAACGTGGCCGGAATCAACTTCCAGTGGGGCGAGGAGGGCATCTTCGGCATGTCCCTGTCCCCGATCCGCTCCGACGGTTATCGCACTCTGTACTTCAGTCCCTTGGCCAGTCACCGGCAGTTCGCGGTGTCCACGAGGATCCTGCGGGACGAGACCAGGACGGAGGACAGCTACCACGACTTTATTGCCTTGGACGAGCGTGGCCCGAACGCCCACACCACGGCCCGTGTCATGAGCGACGACGGCATCGAGCTGTTCAACCTGATTGACCAGAACGCCGTGGGCTGCTGGCACTCCTCCATGCCGTACTCGCCCCAGTTCCACGGCATCGTGGATCGCGATGATGTGGGTCTGGTCTTTCCGGCCGACGTCAAAATCGACGAAATGAAGAACGTGTGGGTCTTGTCCGACAGGATGCCGGTGTTCCTGCTCTCTGACCTGGACTACGCCGATACCAATTTCCGTATTTACACCGCCCCCCTGGCCTCGCTGATCGAGAACACGGTCTGCGATCTGAGGAACAATGCCTACGGACCCTCCAATTCGGTTTCCATACCCAAGCAGGCCGCGTTGCCGGTGGGACCACCACTGTACACCAAACAGTATCGTCCGGTGCTGCCACAGAAACCGCAGACCAGCTGGACCTCCTCGCCCCCGGCACCACTGCTGCCGCCCAGTCGCACCTATTTGCCGGCCAGCCCGGGTCCGGTGGTGTCCAGTGTCAGTGTCTCCACCAACACGGTAGGTCCGGCCGGTGTGGAGGTGCCCAAGGCGTACATATTCAACCAGCACAACGGCCTTAACTACGAGACCAGTGGCCCACACCTTTTCCCCACCCACCAGCCCTCGCCGCCCGGCAGCCAGGACGGTCTCAAGACGTACGTGAATGCGCGCCAGTCCGGCTGGTGGCACCACCAGCACCAGGGCTAACGCAATTAGGGCCCAGAGACAGACATCACACAACCCGGATGAGAGCCGCTTTGGAAACAGGGTATCAATCGCTTGCTGTTAGGATATTCAAAAGCCAATCTCACAAACACCAGCCTCAAACGGAGCAAGCCAGGACATCCGGAAATTCCACTAGGTCTTTTAATTTAAGCCATCAAATAAAACTATCTATTTTTTTTTAATAAACATACACTTGTTTTGAAGGAGAACCCAAAAATGAAGAAGAAATGATTGCCAAATTAATGCTCGAAAAATGAAATGTAAATAAATAAGTTTCAGTGGAGTTTTCTTTATATTAAAAATTTAACATATATATTAACTTAACTTAACATATAATTAGCTGTTAAAGTATTCATTTTAATAACATACTTTTACGAGGCGAGTTAGTTTTGGTTGGCGAGTTGGTTTTGGAAATCGTTGCAGGTCAAACCTTCATCATTGATTGTAGCATACTTTTGAGCGCGAACTAACCCAGGCTTAAACCTTTTATAGCTACTTTCTATAGCTATAGCTATAAGTTACTTTCCTCATTCAAAATATGGCATAAATATGCTCCACAATTTTGCTCCAAAAAATTGTGCTTTTTCGCATTTGCTCCTTCCGATTGCAGAAATGTCGTTTTCTAATTTTTCGATTTTTTTCCAAGGGGATCCCCTGCAAAATTGTGGGTTTTCCCAATTTTCGCACTTTTGCTCCTTCTGATCGCCATATCTCTGCCAATTTGTATCCGATCAAGAAATAAAGCACCATTTAGTAATCAGCGAACCCAAAAGCGACTTTCCTCATTCAAAACATTGCTGAAATGTCGTTTTCTAATTTTTCGATTTTTTTCCAAGGGGATCCCCTGCAAAATTGTGGGTTTTCCCAATTTTCGCACTTTTGCTCCTTCTGATCGCCATAGCTCTGCCAATTTGTATCCGATCAAGAAATAACGCACCATTTAGTAATCAGCGAACCCGAAAGCGACTTTCCTCGTTCAAAACATTGCAGAAATGTCGTTTTCTAATTTTTCGATTTTTTTCCAAGGGGATCCCCTGCAAAATTGTGGATTTTCCCAATTTTCGCACTTTTGCTCCTTCTGATCGCCATATCTCTGCCAATTTGTATCCGATCAAGAAATAAAGCACCATTTAGTAATCAGCGAACCCAAAAGCAACTTTCCTCATTCAAAACATTGCTGAAATGTCGTTTTCTAATTTTTCGATTTTTTTCCAAGGGGATCCCCTGCAAAATTGTGGGTTTTCCTAATTTTCGCACTTTTGCTCCTTCTGATCGCCATATCTCTGCCAATTTGTATCCGATCAGGAAATAAAGTACCATTTAGTAATCAGCGAACCCGAAAGCGACTTTCCTTATTCAAAACATTGCTGAAATGTCGTTTTCTAATTTTTCGATTTTTTTCCAAGGGGATCCCCTGCAAAATTGTGGATTTTCCCAATTTTCGCACTTTTGCTCCTTCTGATCGCCATAGCTCTGCCAATTTGTATTCGATCAAGAAATAAAGCACCATTTAGTAATCAGCGAACCCAAAAGCGACTTTCCTCATTCAAAACATTGCTGAAATGTCGTTTTCTAATTTTTCGATCTTTTTCCAAGGGGATCCCCTGCAAAATTGTGGGTTTTCCCAATTTTCGCACTTTTGCTCCTTCTGATCGCCATAGCTCTGCCAATTTGTATCCGATCAAGAAATAACGCACCATTTAGTAATCAGCGAACCCGAAAGCGACTTTCCTCGTTCAAAACATTGCAGAAATGTCGTTTTCTAATTTTTCGATTTTTTTCCAAGGGGATCCCCTGCAAAATTGTGGATTTTCCCAATTTTCGCACTTTTGCTCCTTCTGATCGCCATATCTCTGCCAATTTGTATCCGATCAAGAAATAAAGCACCATTTAGTAATCAGCGAACCCAAAAGCGACTTTCCTCATTCAAAACATTGCTGAAATGTCGTTTTCTAATTTTTCGATCTTTTTCCAAGGGGATCCCCTGCAAAATTGTGGGTTTTCCCAATTTTCGCACTTTTGCTCCTTCTGATCGCCATATCTCTGCCAATTTGTATCCGATCAAGAAATAAAGCACCATTTAGTAATCAGCGAACCTGGAACCCAAAGCGACTTTCCTCATTCAAAACATTGCTGAAATGTCGTTTTCTAATTTTTCGATTTTTTTCCAAGGGGATCCCCTGCAAAATTGTGGATTTTCCCAATTTTCGCACTTTTGCTCCTTCTGATCGCCATATCTCTGCCAATTTGTATCCGATCAAGAAATAAAGCACCATTTAGTAATCAGTGAACCCGAAAGCGACTTTCCTCATTCAAAACATTGCAGAAATGTCGTTTTCTAATTTTTCGATTTTTTCCAAGGGGATCCCCTGCAAAATTGTGGGTTTTCCCAATTTTCGCACTTTTGCTCCTTCTGATCGCCATATCTCTGCCAATTTGTATCCGATCAGGAAATAAAGTACCATTTAGTAATCAGCGAACACGAAAGCGACTTTCCTTATTCAAAACATTGCTGAAATGTCGTTTTCTAATTTTTCGATTTTTTTCCAAGGGGATCCCCTGCAAAATTGTGGGTTTTCCCAATTTTCGCACTTTTGCTCCTTCTGATCGCCATATCTCTGCCAATTTGTATCCGATCAAGAAATAAAGCACCATTTAGTAATCAGCGAACCCGAAAGCGACTTTCCTCATTCAAAACATTGCAGAAATGTCGTTTTCTAATTTTTCGATTTTTTTCCAAGGGGATCCCCTGCAAAATTGTGGGTTTTCCCAATTTTCGCACTTTTGCTCCTTCTGATCGCCATATCTCTGCCAATTTGTATCCGATCAGGAAAAAAAGTACCATTTAGTAATCAGCGAACACGAAAGCGACTTTCCTTATTCAAAACATTGCTGAAATGTCGTTTTCTAATTTTTCGATTTTTTTCCAAGGGGATCCCCTGCAAAATTGTGGGTTTTCCCAATTTTCGCACTTTTGCTCCTTCTGATCGCCATATCTCTGCCAATTTGTATCCGATCAAGAAATAAAGCACCATTTAGTAATCAGCGAACCCAAAAGCGACTTTCCTCATTCAAAACATTGCTGAAATGTCGTTTTCTAATTTTTCGATTTTTTTCCAAGGGGATCCCCTGCAAAATTGTGGGTTTTCCCAATTTTCGCACTTTTGCTCCTTCTGATCGCCATATCTCTGCTAATTTGTATCCGATCAGGAAAAAAAGTACCATTTAGTAATCAGCGAACCCGAAAGCGACTTTCCTTATTCAAAACATTGCTGAAATGTCGTTTTCTAATTTTTCGATTTTTTTCCAAGGGGATCCCCTGCAAAATTGTGGGTTTTCCTAATTTTCGCACTTTTGCTCCTTCTGATCGCCATATCTCTGCCAATTTGTATCCGATCAAGAAATAAAGCACCATTTAGTAATCAGCGAACCCGAAAGCGACTTTCCTCATTCAAAACATTGCTGAAATGTCGTTTTCTAATTTTTCGATTTTTTTCCAAGGGGATCCCCTGCAAAATTGTGGGTTTTCCCAATTTTCGCACTTTTGCTCCTTCTGATCGTCATAGCTCTGCCAATTTGTATCCGATCAAGAAATAAAGCACCATTTAGTAATCAGCGAACCCAAAAGCAACTTTCCTCATTCAAAACATTGCTGAAATGTCGTTTTCTAATTTTTCGATTTTTTTCCAAGGGGATCCCCTGCAAAATTGTGGGTTTTCCCAATTTTCGCACTTTTGCTCCTTCTGATCGCCATATCTCTGCCAATTTGTATCCGATCAAGAAATAAAGCACCATTTAGTAATCAGCGAACCCAAAAGCAACTTTCCTCATTCAAAACATTGCTGAAATGTCGTTTTCTAATTTTTCGATTTTTTTCCAAGGGGATCCCCTGCAAAATTGTGGGTTTTCCCAATTTTCGCACTTTTGCTCCTTCTGATCGCCATATCTCTGCCAATTTGTATCCGATCAAGAAATAAAGCACCATTTAGTAATCAGCGAACCCAAAAGCAACTTTCCTCATTCAAAACATTGCTGAAATGTCGTTTTCTAATTTTTCGATTTTTTTCCAAGGGGATCCCCTGCAAAATTGTGGGTTTTCCCAATTTTCGCACTTTCGCTCCTTCTGATCGCCATATCTCTGCCAATTTGTATCCGATCAAGAAATAAAGCACCATTTAGTAATCAGCGAACCCGAAAGCGACTTTCCTCATTCAAAACATTGCTGAAATGTCGTTTTCTAATTTTTCGATTTTTTTCCAAGGGGATCCCCTGCAAAATTGTGGGTTTTCCCAATTTTCGCACTTTTGCTCCTTCTGATCGCCATATCTCTGCCAATTTGTATCCGATCAAGAAATAAAGCACCATTTAGTAATCAGCGAACCCGAAAGCGACTTTCCTCATTCAAAACATTGCTGAAATGTCGTTTTCTAATTTTTCGATTTTTTTCCAAGGGGATCCCCTGCAAAATTGTGGGTTTTCCCAATTTTCGCACTTTTGCTCCTTCTGATCGCCATATCTCTGCCAATTTGTATCCGATCAGGAAATAAAGTACCATTTAGTAATCAGCGAACCCGAAAGCGACTTTCCTCATTCAAAACATTGCTGAAATGTCGTTTTCTAATTTTTCGATTTTTTTCCAAGGGGATCCCCTGCAAAATTGTGGGTTTTCCCAATTTTCGCACTTTTGCTCCTTCTGATCGCCATATCTCTGCCAATTTGTGTCCGATCAAGAAATAAAGCACCATTTAGTAATCAGCGAACCCGAAAGCGACTTTCCTCATTCAAAACATTGCTGAAATGTCGTTTTCTAATTTTTCGATTTTGTTCCAAGGGGATCCCCTGCAAAATTGTGGGTTTTCCCAATTTTCGCACTTTTGCTCCTTCTGATCGCCATATCTCTGCCAATTTGTATCCGATCAGGAAAAAAAGTACCATTTAGTAATCAGCGAACCCGAAAGCGACTTTCCTTATTCAAAACATTGCTGAAATGTTGTTTTCTAATTTTTTGATTTTTTTCCAAGGGGATCCCCTGCAAAATTGTGGGTTTTCCCAATTTTCGCACTTTTGCTCCTTCTGATCGCCATATCTCTGCCAATTTGTATCCGATCAGGAAATAAAGTACCATTTAGTAATCAGCGAACCCGAAAGCGACTTTCCTCATTCAAAACATAACAGAAATGTCGTTTTCTAATTTTTCGATTTTTTTCCAAGGGGATCCCCTGCAAAA